GTCATTATTGTAGTTGCAATGTCATAATGGGCATCTTGTGCTTTGAAGATTAGAGATGATAGACTTCTAAGTATAGGCTCTGCTTCATCTAGTGTAATGGGCTGTCCACTCTTTGCAGCTTCTGAGAGCAAAAGCTGGCAGCTTCTTAACTTTGAGCTAAGCTCCCAAGCCAGGTGAAGATTATTGTGCTCTTTCGCAATTATGACATAAGCCTTAGCAAGTGTCATTTGTTCTGACAACTGCCGAGAATATGAGGTAGCACTCAGTATCTCTTTGGTAAAATTTAAACTCTCATGGACAACCTTCTCCTCTCTGGAACTTCTATCCTGCAATGGGAGGTAAGGACTGAGTAAGTAAACAAAGGATTAAATCATAAAGTAACATATTATATGACACAAATTCAGTAAGAAGATACAATTAAATGAAACAATGCCCACAGAAAATTTTAATTTTCTATATATTATGATGTATAAAGCAGGTGGAGATGGAAAAAGTGAAATCCACCACAGACCAATAAAATGGACGGGATGGTTCTCCAAGCCCACTCCAGTAGAAATGAAAAATTGAAATTTGATTTGAGGCCTCTACCACAGACATTACACACCAAATTATTCCACCCCGATTTAGGTCACTCCTTCCTCCTTATCTTAACGAGTGTTTGATGCTTGATTTTTTTTCCAAAAGAAGTTCTTGCTTTTCTTTTTCACCAATTACTATTAGCTATTCCTTTTTCCTTTGTTTCCAGAATTTTTTTATTCCAACTGAAGGTATGTTCATTGATCAGTTCCTAACATAAACAGTAAATCAATTGAAAAAAATGGGCAAATGGTGGTTATGGCAGTGGAATCTAGAACATGCTAGGCAGCTCTATTATTTTGCTTCTTTTTAAGTTTTTGCTCTTCCATACTCATCATAAGGCCTCCTCAGTAGACTTTCACATGTGCAAATTAAACTTAAGTTCAAACATTGTATATTCAATTGATTGTGCAATATTTCTTTAAAAGGAAAGTCACTAAGGCATCCGTCAAAAGAGGAAAGTCACTAAGGCATCCATCAAAAACATTAGCTACATGGTGTTTTCCATTATGCACAGACCTCCATCACCAGGTTAAGACATGTTACAGCACCCAGAGAATATCAGATTATACAATTTCCTACACATCTTTCATAAAGAACAGTCAGAAGCTATTGTAAAAATGAACTACGTAGACAGCAAATCATCCAAAATTTGTCCATCTTTCTTCCTGATTAATTTTTAAGAAACTAAATAAAATTTCCCAATGCATCTGCCACTTTCATTATTGAAGCCTGACCAGAACAGAGATCATGAAGAAAAAGCACAAAATGGAACAACAGAGAGACTGCTTACCATTAAAGTTCTCACAATGGTACTAAAGAATGGGTTCCAAAAACTGTTCCAAAACCATAAGTAAAGCAATTGATATAACCACATGCAAAAAGTTATGAATTTCACTTTTCAAGAATACAGCATCAACCTATCAGAAAAGCTTATGCAAAGCAGATACAACACACGGACACAGGGTCGCTGTAATATCAGGATTAGAAAAGTATTATGCATAATTTAATTAACGTCATATGTGCTTAGATGAGGTGTGAAAATATAACAAAGAAGTTGGACAATCCCTTTGAAGTAACTGATTATTTTCCTAAAGTGATTGATTCCCATCCCCAATTCACATTGATATTACATGATCTGTTCCTTCAGAAGCAACTACTCACAAACAAACCTCTTACTCCATGTGAAAAATTTCCTAAAGATGAGAAAATATGTAATCTCTAGCAACACTTAAAAAACCAGAAATACAGAGCAAATAAGTTTGAATAAGAAAAAAGAAAAAAGAAAAAGAAAAAAAAACAACCCTCACAGGGGAGGAAATATGACTAATACATGTTTATCAATATCAATCAAGCATGTGAATAATCCATATGCTTATGTATTCTATCACACAGACCTCCTACTTGCTAATGTAATTATGGACAAAACTCCCAAGTAAATTATTCTCCCAATTTCTTGAGAAATTAACTCTCCAAAATTTTACCATATCAAACAATGACAAATTGAATACGGAAAAATGAATAAGAAGAATAGAAGGCAAAAACCACACAGAACCCTATCTAGATGTATTAGAAATTGTTGAAAACAATAAATAACCATTGACACAACCCCACACTGCTAAATACATTTCCCCCCTCTATCCATAAGATTGAATCTAAAGAAATCCTATCCCATCTTTGATTTTCAACCTCCTATTGATATTCTACTTAGCATCAAAAAGAAAGGCACTCAATAGGACTTTCTCCCATATTTAACCGATAAACAGCGAGAACAAGTCCACCATGGCTTCCAAGCAAATCAAGACAGGGAAGACAATCTTCTAGCATCTAAATGAAACAGCATAGTTTAACTTAAGCATGATTCTAAATTCTAATAATAAATCCCTGACAAATACCGTAGCTTAACACCATGGGAGGGATAAATACATGAAGGCAGCTATGTGGTATGTACTCCGAACTATGAATTACATGCCAATATCCAATGCTAACTCTCAAATTCAATAATTACAACCTCAGCTGCAATCAAATTAACCAAAGGAACAAGAGACCAGTTAGCTGTTCATTTTCTCAATTCCCAACAGACCAGCATCAAAAGCTCAAAAGGTCAATCCTTTCCTATTATCCTACCTTCTTGATTTCTACAATCAAACTGCAAATAAAAATAAAATAAAATAAAAAGCATAATCGAACTACAACCCTATGAAGAAAATGGAAAGTAAACAATTGAAAAACACATCAGACAAACACAGTACAGAAAGATCCAAATAAAAACAAAGGAGCAAATCTATATCCTTACAGTTACTGTCTGGTCAACCCGATCTTCATGGTAATTATGGTGCACTACGAACAAAACCAATCCCGCAACAGAGAATAGCCCAAGTAGCACCCAGATCCAATACGAAAACCTCCTTCGAACCGGGCGCCGGAACTCGGCAGCCCGTCGCCGCATCTTTCACCGATCCCCTCCACAATTCACAACCAAATCAAGATTCCGCAGCGACCCATTTCTCAGATTCGATCAAGAATCCATTGAGAGTATCGAGACCCGACACAAAACCCACCTGTAAGTCTGTAACTTTACTCCCACACCATAAGCTATGTGCTCATATATGCAGCTCCAATGGAAAAAACGATGGATATGGATAAGGAAGTATCAACAAGAAGAAGAAATCAAGAGGAAGACTCTTGGTTTCAGGAGTGATGAAGGTGACAGTGAAGCGAGAGGTGTTAATGGTGATGTGATCTGGGTTTTTTTGTTATGGGGAGAAAGAGATGTGCTTTACGCCCTTTTTACCTGAAGAAAGAAAAGTACTAAAGAGACAGCATCAGCAGGTTGAGTTGTGAGGTTGGGGCAGTAAAGAGAGGGAAACCAACAACATGGAACGGACAACCGGACAGCACATGAAGCACATGTGGTGCGTGTACTCGACCAAGGTTTTTCTTTTTTCCTTTTTTTTTTTTGTTTTTTGATAAATGCACGGGAGCAAGGTTAACTTACAATATTTTTTTAAGGGGTGTCTTATTATATGGTGTAATTTAAATTAAATTAAATTAAATTATATATTTTTTAAAGATCGTGAAAATTTGAGATCGTGTACCAATTAAAATGTTAAAAGATAATGTATCCGATTCTCATTATTCTACGGTTATAAATCAGTTTAAACAGTGTATTTTTAATTCAAGAATTGAGTTTTAAATTTTTT